AAACCGTCGGTGAACTTCATCGACTTAGCACGGGCAGCACGGAGCTTGCCAGAAACGACAACCTCGCAACCCTTGGCACCGGACTCCATGACGAAACGGAGGACACCATAGCATGCACTGAGGAAACGTAAGACGAGAATGATACGAGTGACAACGTCTACTCACCGACGTACGGCGAGACCACCGAGCAGCTTGTACCTCAAACTCTCGCACTGAGCAATGGCGGACAATCCACGGTATTGAACCTTCTCGGCGTACAACTCAAGGGAGTTCTCGGGGAACTTGAAACGCTTCTGGACGAGAGCGGTAAGCTCTCGGATGCGGCGACCCTTCTCACCCAAAACTTCCTGGGTGTGGGTGGCACGGATGATGATCTACGGGTCGAGAATGAGTACCAGAATGTAATGAGGGGATCATTCTGCGCACTTCGGTACGAGCGTGAGTAACTCGGACGTCGCAACCAGAGTAACCCTCCTCGGAGAGCTCACGAGTGAAGAAGTCGTTGAGTTCGGCGCGGAAGACACCGTCAGCGACGAACTTGCGCTTTTTGCTGATCTGGCCAGACATTTTGGATGGAGGTAACCTGTTAAACGAAGGTCAGTCCAGCGTCCACACAGAACCTCATCCAACATCATCCGTGCTCATCCAACCCTTCCTGCTCTCAATCCTGCCCCAACAACCTTCCAACAATGCACCCCTTCAACCATGAACGAGACCTGCGTACCTTGAAGTTGCGGTTAGGTGGGAAGTTCGTCGATGGCGAGGGTCTTGACGGCCGGTATGAGGACTCTTACTGCACGAGCCCCAGAGTCAATCGCACTGTCGGGTCCGATCACTACCAAATCGGGGTAGTTTTGCAGGAAATCGCGGCGTTTGCTGTAAAATCGTCACAGCCGAGCCACGTGAGCGGAGTCTGGAATTCCCATAAAAAGGACGAGCAAAATTTGAGACGCGACGCAAACTTCCTCTCATCACTCGTCATCTCCCTCGAAGGGATTCAAGCTCAAGCCTCGCGTCGAGAATCAGTAAGTTCGAACATCCGTTTTGTTGTATGACACCATTTTGTTTCTCCTTCGCCGCTATGAAGAGTGTTGTAATATTTCAACCGTAACTGGCACCTCTTAGTCGACTCGATGCATCACTGAGCTTGCTCATGGTGCATAGCTGACATGAATGACCTTCTGAGCTTCTGAGCTGAATCGCTTTGTCTGGCTACTTTGCCACAGAACCTAACGCTAATAACCTTTCATAGATCTTTGCGCAGCCCATGCCTCTATCCGGTTGCGAACCTATGTGCTGTTCTGTGTAACTCCTTGTATTTGTATTGGACTGAGAGTAGTGAATATGATCGCGATTTCTCCACGCCATTCAATCGCGGGACCGATGCAAGAGCTCCGAAAATGAATGTTGGAGTATGTTCAGTTTTCATGGGCGGGCCTCATTCACGATGATAGCTGCTCCTCCCATCCCACTTCCAACGCACATACTCGTGCACAACACCTTCTTGTCTTGTCTTCTCAGTTCTGCAAGTCCGGTCACAATCTGGCGCAGCCCAGCTAGGTCGCTGTGATGAGAACATGGTCATTCGATAGACGAGGGAGTACTTACTCATGCCCAATGGATGTGTCAGTGCGATCGCACCACCACTACAATTCATGCGTAAGGATGTCAATATTCAACTTTTTCATGAAAGTACAAAGGTGCTAACTTCGGGTTAATTTTGTCCATCGATATACCTAATTGCTCGACGCAATAGGCGAATTGAGAGGCAAAAGCCTCATTGATCTGTGTGTGGCGTAAGTAGGAAGGCCGTCATGCAGACAACGCAACGCTTGCCTCAAAAACGTCAATATCTTCCTTCGAGAGACCAGTATCTGCAAGTACTTTGGTAATGGCTGCAATGGGGGAGATCCCCATGTAACGAGGTTCGACACCTGTGGAACTCGTTAGGTGGAAGTCTATTATGGTTGAAGGGCAGAAACCAACGAACCAACGAACGATGCAGCAACCCACTTTCCGAGGATCTCCATACCTTCCTCCTCTGCGTTCTTCCTCGTGGTAAGAACGGCGATGGCCGCACCATCACCCACACCACTTGCATTGCCAGCAGTGGTATGGGCTGCGCCCCAGTCCGGGAATACAGGTTTTAGGGAACTCAGTGACTCTGCGCTGACACCAGGGCGAATGGTATCATCGGCAGAAATGACTTGACCGCGGACCTCGATGGGCAATATTTCCTCCGCAAAGATACCAGCTTTCGAGGCCTGGTAGGCATCGTTAGTGTGGACCTTCTCATAGGAGTAGTGCGGTGTACCTTCTCTGCTCTCGAGTGGGAGATCAATGCATACTTGTCTTGTGTCGCACGATCAACCTTGTACGTTTCTGCGACCATCTCTGAAGTCCATCCCATTGGCTGGGTGCAGTCGTGGGCCTGTGGGTGTTTGTCGACTGCTTCCACTACTTCGGGCGTGGGACGTGGACTAAGTCGTCGTTAGTCTAGGCGACCGGCGATTGCATGTATCGACTCACTTTAAAGACATACTCTCGACGCCAACGGCGACGCCGAGAGAAATCTCTCCTGATTCAATGGCCTGAGCGATACTCCGAACGGCTTGGAGGCCGGAGGAGCACAGTCGGTTTACGGTGGATATTGGAACCGTCTCGGGAATCCCAGCTGCAAGTGCAGCAGCTCGGGAGACGTACAACGGGGATGGCGGATGACATGTGCCTTTGAAAAGGCCTTAGTAGGGCCCGTGGCTGCACACAAGAATTATACGCACCGACACAAATGTCGCCAATTTGCTTAGGGTCGAGCTCAGTCCTCTCGAGAGTTGCCTGAAACGAAGTCAAGATTGTTTGGGTAGCGGTCAACCATGGCTACCCACCTTGAACAATGCATGCATCATCTCATCGACAGGAACATCCTTCAGCTGCCCCTTCTTCGCCCTCCCCATCGCAGAACGCTTTGCAAAGGTAATGACTACGTCGTCTGGCCTCTTCTCAAGAATCCCATGCAATCCTTGTGGGACAGTTGAGACACTGCGACTTAGGTGCCTCGCACTATGTCTTGCGAGTCTTGTGAGCATGTTTGCTGGCAGATACGGTTATGGGGTCGGGGGACGAGAAAGAGGTGGAATTTGAGGTTGGTCCGAGGTGCGGTGCCCAGGAACGGGTCCGTTGTGCGGAGGGCATGATGGTCATGAGGATCGGCCGAAGCCAAGTTCAGACTTTCACATCCCAATAGCTCATTACGCATCAACAAAATATTCAGTAGAATGAGACGAAAGCTTCGGTCATGCTGGTGACAAGTCGTGAAGTATTAGGGAACGTATGTATTAGGTGTTTGGTAGTCCTATGCCTCTCTACGCAAGCCTCTAACGTCAGTTGTACGATATGCAATATTCGTTTTCCCTGCTCTGCGCGATAGAAACGAGCGGGGTTAACGTTCTATACTTCGACCGGGAACGGAGGACATACCACTCAGTATCATGAGTCTATCGACGGAGTGCCGTCCTGACCATCCTTTGCCTTTGATTTCCAACCTCGACTCAAACCCGAGTAACAATTGGAGCATAGATGATGTGCAAGTTTCGGAGAGCCACAACCGGGGCAATGAACAATATCTGGACGAGATCAAATGACTGACACAATTGGATGAGCACTTCCACTCACTGTGTTTGTCTTTCAACCCCTTGTTTGCACTACGCATCGATTTACGCGAATGAGAAGTCTTCTTTTTTGGCACTGCGAGCAGGAACGGCGGGAAGAGTTCCAGCAGTGACTGAAGTGACGGGATGGCCCATGTTATAGGTTTTGGTGCGAGAAAGGCAGCTGGGAGGAGGTTGGCAATGGAAAACTTCATGGCCGGCGTACGAAAGAGCGGCCGTGTCTGCGTAAGGGCTAGCGACGCCATTCTTGAAAAGCGAACACGTCGTCTGTGAGGATGAAAGCGTTGGCCAAGTGGTGAAAGCGTTAGCGCCGATCAAACGCGCCAATTTGGTGGCCTTGACAAGTTGGACACTGACCACCACCAACCTCACTCACTCCGACCATGTTTCGCCTAACCCGCCCTCTGCTCTACGCCGCCCGCAAGGCATCCACGGGAATTACTGGTCTCAACGTCCACCCGAACCCTCTTCCTGAACTCACGAAGACCTACGAGACAACACTTGCAACCCTCGCACACATACCCCAAACGTCTGTCTACCGCCAGGGCGTAGAGGCATTGGTCTCGAGGAAGTTGAAGCTGGTTCAGGGTGCCAAGGGAGATGTTGATGCAGCGGAGAAGGAGCTCGGGGAGGGACAGATTGAGGAGTCGATAGGGATTGCTCAGGATGAGCTCAGTCTCGTTCAGAAGATGATCGAATGGAAAGCGTGAGTCCTGGGTTTGATTTTGCTACTGAAATGGTTATGGAACGTTCATATTCTAGGTGGGAACCGTTAGAGGAGAAGCCAGAGCCTGGTCAGTGGGAGTACTTTGGGAAGGCTGCGACAGCAACTTCATGAGGGTAAATGTACAGCGGTCATGTCATTGTGCGATCCATTGCAATTGGCGAAGTGTTCTGAGGATCAAGTCTCTCAGTTTGACCAGTGTTGAAGTTCTATGACCTTAGTGTCAGGTTTCTGGTGTTAACTGAGGGTCGGGGAAACGGTGAACACCCATTGATCACACTCGCTGACAGAAATGTTTCGACCAGGCGTTGAGCATGACTGTTTGGTACAAGCAAACTTATAAGAGTGGTCGCTGGAGTAGAGACGATGACTTGAACTCAAGAGAGACTGGATCCACAAGGAGCGCTTAATATGATATGGCCGAGTCGTGACGGCCAAAAAGAGATTGGAGAATGCCTCTCTGTCCATGAAAATGCATCGTGGACCATCATGGTTCATGGTGATTCATGGGTCTCAGACTGTCGTTTTTATTTTTGTCCATTAATCTGAACAAGCACCACTTGAAGCTTAAAGCTCGCAGATCTCCTTCACCGAAGCAAAAACAGATACGCTGACAGCAGGATTTGAACCTACGCGGGAAAATCCCAAGTGATATTTGAGAAGTCACGTGACCATGACTAGTTCAAATCACTCGCCTTAGACGACTCGGCCATATCAGCTTATTGAACAAGGTGTTAAACCTGATAATGCACTGGCCTGCCTTTCCCAATCCACACAGAATCGACTTTCACCGCTCCCGTTTTCTTCCTGGCATCGATTCAGCACCATGGACTCCTTGATCCCATTCACGACCTCGGGATCGCTTGTGGATTGCGTCGACAGTACGTCTGTCCAGAGCACCTCCGAGTCCTTCATCGACATGAACCTCGCATTGCCCGTGCTCCTCAGGGAAGATGCTCGTTGTCCTGAGAGACGGCCGTAAACTGCAGGGTGTCCTCCGTTCATATGATCAGTTTGGTACGTCTCTCCACCATGCGTCCGCTGTGCACGCTCTGAACGCATCACAGCAAACCTTGTCCTCGAAGACACAGTAGAGCGGATATACCACCAAGACGTCTTTGCGGAACTGCATCGGGGTCTCTTTCTGATTCGAGGGGAGAACGTTGTCCTTCTGGGGGAAATTGTTCGTCTCGTCAACACTCGCCATACTAATCCTGACTCGTATGATCCACGCAGGACTTGGATCAAGAAGACGACGTCCCTCTCCGACAAGTAGAATGGGCAGTCCTCGAAGCGTATCACAAGGCGGAGGTCCTCGACAAAAAGCAACGAGAAGAGGCCAAGGCCCAGATTCTGTTTGAACGGAGAGGCTTCTGCAAGGAGGGCGGCGAAGGCGATGGGTATTGATCGCACTTTCGCACAGTTCATGGCGAATTCATGCTACGAGATCACTCCTGTCCGTTGTACAGATTATATATGTATTCAGTAGACCCCATGCGGGCCAGACACGTATAATACCATCAGGAGGTTTAGTGTACCAGCGACCATCAGTCAACTTCTTTCCGCTTCTTGCCCTTCTTCAACCCGTCAGCATACGCCCTCTGCTTGACAACGCCGTTCGAGTGTCCTTTGCCATTAAGAGGCTGCAGAGGAACGGGAATCGGTGCAGCGGCTGCGCGAGACTTGGCTTCGAGGACATCTTCCATGCGTTTGCGGATCTCACGTTCTTGAGCGGTCAGCTTGCTCAAGACCTCCGTTATGGTTTCCATGTCAAGCTCGACTTCTGTTCGCCGCAGCTTCTGCCAGCTACGAATCGTGGTCAGTCGACTTGAAGCGTGCGCGAAGAGGAACGGACGCACCCCGCGTGTCTTTCACATTTCTTCCGTCCCCGGCACCACCATTCTCCAGCTTCAACCTGCGAATCGACCTGCATCTCGTCGTCCACTGCAGTCGCGTGCTCGTTCTCTTCCTCGTAGCTCTCCAGCACCCCAGCCCCAAATTCGGCGTACTCCTCGTCACCGAAACACAGGCGTTGGTCCCATCCGCAGTCGTCGACCGTTTCCGCCCTGGCTGATGCCAGTTCAACCAACTTCTCTCTCCACAGCACAATATCCAACTCCTTCTTGGTCTCGTCTCGCTTGCGGGCGACCTTGTCCAGCTGCGCATGGAGCCTCTCCATCTCTCGGTCCAACTTTGTCTTCGACGGTCTGACCACCTCTTGTATGCCATTCTCTGAGTCTCCGCCGATGCAGCGAATAACCAAGCCTTCACGTCTTTGCGCATCCCTCACACTTTCCCAAAGCCGTCCCTTGTCACCGCCCCATTGATCTATTCGCATGCGCATGGCGGCGATGCCGCACTCCTGAGAACAGTACTTCGAGAACGCCCCACGAGATGGTTTATGACACGCTTTCGCAGATGAAGGGTTTGGATGGTTAAGACCGGCGGCACAGCGCTGTTTGTACGTCGTCTTCAGATTGAGCGCGGAGTTACCTGGTGGTGGGATGGTCGGTTTCACAAGGGGTACAAGGATTTATTAAAGAATGCGTACCAGAGATGCAACTTGGGCAGAAAAATTGATCCACAAGGTCGACTTCCGTATCCGACATGCCCACGCATTGTGTATGATACCACTCGTCGCATCTATTCATAGTGTCAGAAACGACCGGCCGACTAATGCCAACCTAACGTACCGGTCGCAAGCGATCATTACTCTGTCCTCGTCATACGTCGTCTTGCAAATGCAGTATAACTTGTCATCCACAGCTTCCTCTTCCTCATCCACGGCCTCTTCTGCCTTCTTCTCGCCCTCAACAGTGGCCCCGGGGGCCACAGATGCAGATCGCGAACGTGATGCTCCAGTGGCAGCCGTTGAAACCGCGCGCTTCGAAACGGACGTAGCCAAGGGGGAGGACTTCTTGCTTTTGCCTGACACCGAAGCGGTCACGGCAGGACTTGACAGAGCAGACGGCGGGGTACCATCCTTGAGTCCCTTCGTTACCTTCTGCTTCGCTGATGCGGTGGTCTTTCCTTTAGCCTTGGAGGCTTGCACTTTCGGTTGCATCACAGACTGCGCGACGACATATTAGCACACGCCTTACTACGCAAGAGAAACCATACCTTGGAGCTAGTTTCCTTCTTCTTCGAGCCACCCGATACAGCACTGCTATCTCTGGTATCGCTAACCACGGCAGTACTGTCGTCCCGACTTGTCCCCGATACTCCCACTGTCGCAGGAGGTGGCATCGAAGCGCGATCTGAGGCCGCGCTGGTTGCCGGAGTAGCCTGCTTCAACTCCGGTTCCGGCAGGGGCTTCTTCGGCGTTGGCTTAGGTCTTTGAGGAAGTTGTGTGGCGACAGGCGTGACCAGTGGAGGAATAGGCGAAGCCGAAGTAACTACAGGCGAACGAGGTCCGATTTGGGTCTTAGGGCGGGGTTCATCATCCAACAAACTGAGAAGCTCGTTATCAACGTCCATGTCGACTGAGGGTTCGCGCTTTGGCTGAGGTGGAGGGTGCTTATTTGTGCTCTTTGAAGGTTCCACCACCAAGCTGAGCTCCATATCGACATCCATATCGGATTTTTCAGGGGCATGCTTGTCCGCCTTCCTCTGGCTCAATATCGGTAAGGGTGCAGGTGGACCTGGCTTGCTTTTCGGAGGCTTGGGTTGGAGGACAAGCTCTGTTGATTGGGCTTCCTTCTCGACCTTAACGGATGCCCGTGGGATTGACGGAGAGAGAGGTCGTACAGTAGGCGCGACGGATTCTGAGAGTGGTTCTGGAGGTTGCGATGTGGCCTGGGAAGAAGACGCGTAATGCTCGAGCAACCATTCGTGAGGATCCTCAACGGCTGGGGGTTCGGTTTCCTTCACATCAGCCTTCTCCCTAGTTTCCACCCAATCCTGCACCGCAGCCTTTTCCCGCGTCTTCATAGACTTCTCCTTTTCCCTCTTTTCCCTCCTCTCTTTATCCTTCTCCCGCTTCTCTTTGACTACTTTATCTTTCTCCCCTTTCTCCGGATGCCTCGAACCACCTTTCGCCATATCTACCACGTGTTCTGACTCACTGACTGGATGAGGTGCGCTCGGGTGTGTGTGGCCTACGGCCTCCTTCCTTTGAGCTGGTGTCTCCCCATGCTTCTCCCTTATGATGACGACACCTCGAGTAGCGTCACTGACAGGGAATATAGCCGGCATAGGAAGAGAAGAAACTGTAACCGGGGGTCTGGCGTCGCGAGAGGCGACTTCGCCTGCATCCGTAAGGTGCTCTGAACTGCGCCTCTTTTCCAGCGATCGGACAAAGTCTGCATGAGAGGGGACAGGTGGTGGAGCCAGCACAGGGATTGCGGGTGAGCGGGACGGAAGCGACTCCCCAGAACTCCTTCGTCGCTTCATAGGAGGTTCGTCGTCGTACAAACTTCGGAACGATTCCGATGAGGCATGGGTAACGTCCTCGTGTGTTAATCGGGTTAAACTGGTGGTGGGGGACGTGGACACCTGTCCGGGGAGGTTTCTGTGATACGCATTGTGAGGCTGCAATGGTATTTCCACCCTGCGTTCCATAACAGGACTCGTCCTCGTGCTTCTCTGTGTAACGAGGCCCTCCGATACATTGTTATGTCGCCTTGCATCACTGGAGGGTGCTACCTCTCCACTAAGCCTCCTCCTTTCCTCCGTTGCGGCTTGCACGAGAGCTTCAAGCGGTCCAAATCCTTCTCCTCTGGCCGAAAGAGGAGTTGCTACCGGAGCATTACTCGAATGAGCATGAGCACCTCTCGAAAGTGGGGGCGAATGAGTTATTAAGGAGGATAAAGTCGGTCTCGATAACACTGGGGATAGGCGAGGGCGCTCAAGACTCGAAGAGAGTATGAAAGGAGAGCCAGGGCTGGGAGGTGGCTGATATGATGTCGGATAGGCGGGGGACAGAGTATAGGGCGAGCGAACCTGGGAGGAAGTGTACGTCGAATGGGTACCATAAGAGGGTACTGGGGAAGCTGACGGGCGATGCGATGCGATGGGAGACCGGGAGAGCTGACGGTGATAAGGATTGACGGGGCTGAGCGAGGCGAGAGATGGTGAATGCAGCGACGGTGGAGGGTAGGTATGTTGTGTGGGCGGAGACCCAGATAGGCCACTCTGAGACGGCGGTCTTGCCGCTGGATAGGAACCATCATAGGAAGAGTACGCCTGGAAGGGCGGGTCAAGATGGTTTGACTGCGAGCGTGAACTATGCTGTCGGGAGAATTCCAAGGTGGTCTGCGGGTGGCGTCGAGTATGATAGTCTGAACCTTCACTTTCCGGCCTTGAAGTTTCATCTTGCGTGTCATGGTCGTAACTGTACCGCCGAAAGCGCTGTTGAACAGGAATTGATGGGCTGCTTGTGCTGGGGTGAGCTTCGGGCGTAGGTGGTGGCCTCAGGTGCGCACTGGAGTAGGAGTGGGAGGAATACTGCGGGGGAACAACATCTGGCGTGGTGGTGCGAACGTTGACAGGGTGTTTATGGACAGGCTCCGGACTGTGTGAGTAGGTGCCTGAGGTCGTGTAGTGCTCGAAAGGACGAGGTTGGGTCTGTGAGGGGAATGGCGGTGAAGAGGAGGGGCCAGCAACGGGGGTGTCTGAGGAATCATCTTCACAAAGCAGAGAGGAGATAGCGAGACGACGAGCAGCCATGCAGGAGGGAGAGGATGGTGGTTGAGAGGAAACGAGCGCAGGGCCCAAGATA